GCCAGCCAGCCAGTTGGGTATGGGTCCTTTGATGGTTTCAGTGTGTGGTCTGTGGGAGCTGGTGGAGACACAGTAATAGAAAAGCATTCGTAGATGGTGGAGTGAATCCTTTGTGCCTTTCCCCCTGAACCATACCAGTGAGTGGGAGAATATGATGGTTGTGTCCATGGAAAGGCTCCATCAGGTTGGCAGGTTCCCTGTAGGTAGTCCTTTGGAAATACCTTTATTCTGTGAGTGCTGAGATATAGAGTCTACAAAGGTTTTATTTTAGAGACCCAAGAATCAGGAGCCACCGATGTCAGAGGCGAGCTCTCTGTTCCCAGAGCTATGGTGGCTTTCAGAGGCTTCTAGCTTGGAACAGTGAGCTGGAGCCTCCCTCAGCCTATGCCCTTTGCTTATATACCCATAGACAGGAATTGGTGGCCCTTTCCCAGGAAGATGGCCTATGTAGTTGTTTGTCCACGTTCCATTCAGATGTGGATCTGAATGGGCTAAGCCTGGACATCTCCCCCTGGCCTTCTGCCTCAGCAAGACATGTAGAGGGCTTGAAACACAGAGACCCACTTTATAGATGTGCTGCCTTCTGGGAGGAGCCCAGGCACTAGTGGGTACCTTGTACTTAACATCTAGGGCCAGGGCCCCTACACAGACACTTCCTAATCACTAGGATGCCCTAAGACAGGGCATGGCCCACCTTCACCCCTAGAGAACCATGAGACAGGTCACAGCCCACTCAGACCTCTAAGGCATCTAATGCACTCAGTAACATGCATATGCTCACAAACACAACAGTCACACATGTTCATACAGATATCAGCACATGGGCATAAATGCACACACAGATACTTTCTCTTGTATTCACAAGTACGTGTGTACACGTATTGGGCACTTAGATTCAGGCACTTAGCTCTACAGATGTGTCTCTGTGCACATCCACTGAACACCTACACACCACACATGTCTGTTCATTGGACTTTTATCAGAGGAATCTGTTCAACCCACTTCAGTATTGGAGTAGCTTCTTGGTGGTTCCGTGTTCTTGCTGCACACAGTGACTCTGCCCTGGATCTGCATCATGCATGTTTCAGGGACCTTCAAGTCACACTTCCAGGGTTGGAGGTATTGAACTCTAATCTCACTTTTTGACTCAGTTGTGGTATAATGCCTGCTGGGCCCCAGAGCCCCAGGGGCCCAGGGTCCGTATGGCAAAGGGATGTGCCTTCATCTACACTCACCCAGCACCCAGGTTGGAGGCAACATCCTTAGCACATGTCCCTGTCTGCTGGCATGAGTGAACAAAGCCTCCCAGGTGAGTGGGGTATGATGCCCTGTGTTGGGGTCCCGGAACCAAGATGAGGTCTTGTAGGGAAAACCTGGCCTTTTCGGAGAGGAGACCTTGTCACCCACTGGCTCCAGCTCCATGGGTGGTTCTTGTTCTTGCTGCTAGTGCTACTTCCTGCCCTGCATTCCCCCTGCCAGTGAGCAACATAGGTCCAGGGTGACTGAATGTTGTGGGTGGCAGAGGTACAGACTGCTCAGTACTGATGAATGTCCTGGTGAAGGGAGAGGTTTGTACAGTTCTGACAACCATGTGATTTTTGCCCATGCAGCCCTGCTCGTTAGTGGTTCTATTCTGGGCTGTTGCAGGTTCAGTGAGGCCCTTCTGTCATCTGCTGACTGCTGTTTGTTCAACTTATTCTTTTCCTTCTCCCTCAGACGTTGTGACCCTCTGTGAGCAAAACCACCCCCTTGCAACTCATGTGCATCATCTTCTTTAAGTTTGATCCTCGACCTGCTTCCAAAAATGCATACAGGTAACCAACCCCCTTGCCCTGCATCTGCCATGCTCCACTGGATCTGGGGTATGGTTTTGTTCTCATTCCACTTGGACACCATGTGCAAGAGAGGCAAGGGAAGCCTCAGGGCATGTGGGCCAGGCCCTGGATGGTTGAGTCCCAGTGGCAAGATCTAATGCTAAGTTGCCTAAGACAGGCTCAGACTTTCGATCTTCCTACCACAGCCTCCTAGAGTGTTGCAATTATAGGTGTGTGTCACCACATCTGGCTAAGTTTTTTTTTCTTTTTTTTTTGAGGAACCGGGGATTGAACTCAGGCCCTTGTGTTTGCCAGGCAAGCACTTATTCTACTGAGCTAACTCCCCGGCCCCCTGGCTAAGTTTTCATCACTTAAAAATGTGTGCCAGAAATGATTCGGACTGGTTCAATGAAATTCTATTAAGTCACTGCAGAATTGCATAGATCCTGTGGCTCCTAATGGCTGAATTCACTCGATTCCATCCAAGAAACAGCAACTGAGGGGTGTCCAGTGTTTTTTCCCCTCTGACCAAGGAAGAGACCACAGAGGCAGGCCAGAGGAGATCATGAGCAGCGCCTAGCAGAGTGAGCGAAGCAAATCAGGGTCCCCCTAGCAGAGTGAGTGAAGCAAGTCTTGTCCAGACAGAATCCTTCAGGGCAAGTATATAGTAAAGAACTACTAACTGTAATGGGGCGCTGGAGTTGTGAGGGACTGGCTGGCTGGACGGGAACAGAACTGTAAGATTATAGGAATAGCAGATATAAGGAGTAACTACACCTCCTATGGCTGAGATAGAGTGCCTAGGATTGTGCCCTCTCTTTTACCTTTAGGCAGAGATCCAGACATTGCCAGAAAAGGTATAGCTATGACCCACCAGATGCCAAGAAGTCCCTGAGTTGCCATGCTAGCAGAACTTTCTGGACATCTATCTTCTGGGTACTGGCACCTGTTACTGGGTGGAGGCTAGATGTGTGTGCTGGTCACTGAATGCTGCTTATTGCTGGCACTATGGGAGTGAGTACCTGTGGAGGCCACACATGGTTCAGGAACCTCCTGCAGAAGCACCCAGAGGTGGGGAGGAAACTGCCCTTCATCTCTGAATGTCTCTTTCTAGCATCCTCCCACAAGGGAATAGAGCCCAATAGTCCTTGAGTCTGTCATGAGCACTGTTTGTTACTCCCAGATACAGCCGTAAGCCTACTTCATATTCTGTTCCTTGATGACCACCTTTATGTAATGTAAAAATGGTAAGAAGGATGGGGGAAGAAATGATGGGTATACACACCACGTGCAAATAGGCAGTAAAGAAGAACTGTGAGAGCTGTGTGCAATGGCACCCGCCTGTAATCCCATATGCTGGAGAGGGTGAGATAGGAGAATCGAGCTCGATGCCAGCCCAGGCAATTTAGCAAGAAATCTCAGGGGAAAAAAAGGGAGAGAAAAAAGAGGTGAGGGGAAGAGGAAAAGGGCTCCTCTTCAGCCTGGGCACAAGTACTTAATGCCCACACACATGGGAATGGCTCTGCTTACCTGATCACCATTAGGAGAGCCAGGTTTGTTTACAGTACCTTCAGTGTGACTTTCACAGTGGACCCTTGGCTGCAGGTTTTTGGGTTTTTTTTTTTTTTTTTTTTTTTTTTGCGGAACCGGGGATTGAACTCAGGCCCTTGTGCTTGCCAGGGAAGAGCTTATTCCACTGAACCATCTCTCTGGCCCCTGCAGTTTTGTTTTGGTACTGAAGAATCAAACTTAGGACCTCACACTTGCTAGGCAGGTGCTGCGCCACTGGGCTAGGTCCCTAGCCCCTAGCAGCTGGCTCTTGGTGAGGTGTGGGAATGGTCCCTTAGAGTTTGTTCCTGTGAAGTCATACCAGCAAGAGGGTAGACTCTTGATGGGAGACATCCACAGTCATAGCATGCTATGGGCTGCATTGTGCCCCCTCATATTCCTGTGTTGAATCCTTATTTTGTCAGAATGTGACTGTGTTGGGAAATAAGTTTTTAATAAAGTGATGAAGGAGGGGTAGAGAAGAGATTGAGAATGATCAATATATTTATATTTACATATATCTGCATCTTCAAAATGAACATAATTATTAAGTATCACAAAAGTATATAGCAGTAAAATTAATTTTAAAATGGGGAGACAGCTTGGGGGGGGAAAGCGATGATGGTAAAATGAGGCTATATTGGTAGGTCTGATTCAATATGATGGCTGCCCTTGGGAAAAGAAATTAGGACACAGACATACTGTGGAAGGCCAGTGTGAGTGCAGATAGACTCATATTGCTGAGAGGGGACCCTCAGAGGAAACCAACTGTTGACACCTTGGTCTTGGACATCCAGCCTCTGGAACTGCAGGATAATAAATTACTACTTTTGTTGTTGCATCTCACAGTCCATGTCTTTCATCATAATCTACTTTCCATCCCTCTTTAGCCTTTTTCTGCCCTTAGATTATAGTTTTGACAATATCAGTTTTCAGAGATTTCAACATTTAAGATTTATCTTCCTAACTTTTAGGACTTAAAATTGGACCAAGTGGAGTGGTACACACCTATCATCCCAGCATTATGGAGGTTAGGCAGGATTGCTGCAAGTTGGAGGGCAGCCTGAGCTATGTAGGGGAAGGGGAGGGTGTGGGAGGGGAAAGAGAGAGGAGAGAGGAGAGAGGAGAGGGGGGAGGGAGAGGGGGGGGAGGGGGAGGGGAAGGGAGAGGAAGGAAGAAAGGAAGGGGAGGGGGAGGGAAAGGGAAAGGGGAAAGGGGGAGGGAGCTGACCAGATAGCTCAGCAGCCTAAAGGGCCTGCTTAGGCAGAGCACAAGGGCTGGGTTTGATCCCCAGCATGCTGTGCCGCCTGGCCCCAGGGGCGCACTGAGACAGCAATTGAGACTAGGTGTGGTGGCATGTGCCTATAACCCCAGTACTTGGGAAGCTAAAAACAGGAGAATCATTATGAGTCCGACCTTAGTGAGACCCTGTAGACCCTGTACTAAATACATTTTTTTAAAAAAGAAGAAAGAAAAAAAGAGAAAGGAAAATAAAAGGATTAGAGACATTTAGATTTTATTTTTTCCATTTATATATTTGGCACAGGGTCTCACTGTGTAGCTCGGACTCCTAGTGATCCTCCTGTTTTCAGCCTCCCCAGTGCTGGGATTACAGGGGTGTGCCACCAGGCCCAACTTGGTCTTGGCTCAGTGCGCCCCAGGGGTGGGGCTGGTGCAGTGTGTGGGCTCGAACTCTGGTCCTTGTGCTGCCAAAGTATTTATGACTTTTTTGGAGATAGGGTCTTGCTATGTGGTTCAAGCTAAATATAAACTTTTATATAGTCCAAGCTGGCCTTGAATTTATGGTGACACTTTTGTCTCAGCCTCCGAAGTGTTGGGACTACAGGGGTGCACTACCATGACCCATGAGACTTTTATTTTTTTTATTTTTATTTTTTTAAATATTCTTTTTTTAAATTTAATTTTATTTATTTGTGTGTGTGTGTGTGTGTGTGTGGCCAGCTCAGCCCACCAGGGGGCGGGGCTGGCTGGCATGTGGTGCTGGGGGATTGAACCGCGGTCCCTGTGCTTTGCTAAGCTTGTTCTAAGTAGGTGCTTTAGGCCACCGAGCCATCTCACCAGCCCCCCATGAGACTTTTAGATTTTAGGTGTTTGTTTGATTTGGTTTGCTGGTAGGGATTGAACTCAAAGAGCTACATCCCCAGTCCTTTAAAAAAAATAATTAATTAATTCGAGACAGGGTCTCAACAAATTGCACAGATTGGGCTTGAATTTTTTTTTAATTTTTATTTATGTATTTATATTTTTGGTACTGGAGATCGAACTCAGGACCTTGTGCTTGCCAGGCAGGCATTTATGCCACTGAGCTATCTCCCAGCCCCTTGGGCTTGAATTTATGATCCTCTTGTCTCAGCTTCCTGAGTAGCTGGGATTATAGGTATGTGCTACCACGCACAGTAGACTTTAGGGGTTTTGGTCTGTTAGCATTCTAATACCTGGGATTATGTTTTGGGGGGATAATGATCAGCATTTGTAGGTTTAAGATGCTGTGTTTGCGGTAATTTGATACATGTCAAATGAATAGGCACCATAGAAGAACCAAGATACCACCAGCAGGGTAACATGGTCACATTGTCCTGTAACCCTCATCTTTTAAAAAAATGTTTCTTACGCTCCTATGTAAAGCCCCTTCCTAGCCACAACCTGGAGTGGCTGCTGGGCAAGTTGTTGCCTCTGGAGTTATCTCTGAGGACCAGATTGCTGGGTCATGGTACAAAGCACCTGCTACTTGCTGCCAACTCACCCCCACCCCTGTGATAATAGGCCCCACCCCTCAAATGGTATACATGCCCACCCCCCAGATAGTGCATAGACTCACCTCTCAGCAGTGGGAGGCATGCCTGGTGTTAATAGATCAACCGTGGTTGCAGCTAGCGCAACAGAACAAAGCCAGGGGCTGACTGGGCATGTTCAGAGCCCTGCACTGTGGTGTCGCAGCCCCAGCTCTCTGCACACGGGGTGCGGACAAAGCTTGCTCTGCATCGCAGCCCCCACCAGTGTTGACTGAGGAAATCACTTCCTCTGTCTAGAGCTCACTGTGAGTGCTCATTACACCTGCTCATTTCTACATTCTGTATTTTAATGAAATCTCTGCCAAACCACCAGCAATTCAACTAAGCAGGGACTCCTATAATAAAAATAATCCAACAATTACTGTTCTCAAATTATTAGGCACACATTCCTTGTTTAAAAATAGGCAATTGAACATCTTAGCACAAAATGTTTTGCTTAGTCAGCTTTGCTTTTCATTTCCTCTTTTTTTTTTTTTTTCCCCATGCTGCAGCAACCAAAAATAAAATAAAATAGTTGGCAACCAAAGCCAGCAGCTCCTACCTGGCTTTGGACTGTAGAACTCATCACTCTCCCTGGGAGCCCTAATAGGGGCCTCCCAGCTCCCATCTTCCCTCACCCTCAAGGATTGGGGAGGTGAGGGTAGAGAAGGAACATTTGGTATTTAAGAGAAAGTACCAGAAAAAGACCACATGTAAATTGATTTCTAACCTTAGGGGCAACAGGGACTCCCAGCCTGGTCTCTGGTGTGTCTTTCACAACTATGTAATGTTCTGCCACTTGGAGATCATGTTATCTTCTTCCTCCTAGCAGTTGTCCAGGCCACAGCCTGTGCAGACCGAAGGGCAGATGTGCTTATTGTCAACTCGTGCCTGCCAGGATGGCCCTGCTAGGATGGCCAGGGAATGTAGGCCTTGCTGCTGGCCTTGCTGCGGTGGTGGCGGTGGGGACAGTTCAGTCCAGAAGGGACAGAGCAGATATGTGAGACACAGGCTGTGTCTGGATTGGAACTTGTCATTTGGAGGTACAAAGGATTATTCTGTGAATGGCTGGAGTTTGTGGCAGGAATGGTGGCCACTTTCTGCCACCTTTGGCAGATAAGGTACAACCCTGAAAGTGGCTGAGAGGATGAGACAGAGAGTGGCTGGTGCTGCAGTTAGAGGTAGGGTGGGCCAAATGGGGTAGCCTGAAGGGTTTCATCAAAGATTCAGAGAGTTTAAAGTGATGTACAGTCCCTGGGCAGTAACATCCCATGCCTCCCTGTACACCTACAACACTGTGAATCACAGAATGAAATTGTCCTCAGAAGCCCTGGGTGCTGCTGAGATTTGGCATGTAGCCTCACAGTCCTTTTGGCAAGGGCTTCACACTTCCAGGAAGCCTGAAGGCTTGCTGTGGCTGTTCTCAGGGAATAGCACATGTGCTTAGAAAGGGTGTCTCACGCCTCTAGCCCAGTTCCTTCTTTGTGCTTGGTGACAGCACTGAGGGTCTTCACCTGCCCAGCCATCCTCCCACTGGCCAGGCTCTGTTTGGCTGCATGGGGGCTATATGGGCAGGGGCTGAAGCTGTCTTATTGGGCATATGAACCTGTCTCCCAGCAGCAAGCCATGGAAACCTATAAGTTTGCATGGCACTTTCCTGTTTCCTGGGCAGGGGTGCTGAGCAGTCTCTCTGGGAGCTGCCTGGAGTCACTGTGGACCTTTGCCAGGTGAAGGCCTTGTGAGGACTAGTGGATTCCTGTCCTCTTTGGAACTTGTACATGGATGCTATATTAGAAACTATTTTAACAAGAGAGAAGGCTGAGGGTATAGAGCACAGGCTAAATTCAACCCCTAGTACCCAGAGAAATAAAGAGAGTGAGAGTCGGACCTGATAGCACGTCTGTAATCCTAGCACTTTGGGAGGCTGAGGCTGGAGGATTACAAGTTAAAGCTCAGCCTGAGCAATTTCGTAACTTAGACCCTGTCTCAAAGACAAAAAGTTTTTAAAAAGGGGTGTGTGTTTGGGGGGGTAGGGACATAGCTCATTGTGAAGGATCTGGTTTGAATCCTGAGGGGGACATGGCTTTTGTGTTTCTATGTAATATGGCCAGTCATGCTTTCTTCTCTCAGGCTTATCTTGGCAGCCAACAGGGATGAATCCTACCACAGACCATCCAAGCTAGCCGACTTCTGGGGCAACAACAATGAGATTCTTAGTGGTAAGTCTTCTTTGACACCTATTTGACAGCTATTCATTGTGGCTTCACCTGAGCCCCTGGGGCAGCATGAATGCACAGGTCCCAAAATGAGCTTCACAGGAGCCCTGCTGCCAGTGTAAATGTCAAATATATGAATGACCCATATGAATAGGTGGGTCTGGGCTCTGGGGCAGTGCTAGTTTAGCAATTGAACAGCCTTGAGCTGTCCCCCCAGCACTATCCACATAGCTTCACATGTCTTGGTCAGTCTGCATATGAAGATCATGTCCCTTGGCCACTTTCAAGGCACGCTTGCTAATGTGTGCACGCACCTCCGTGTGTGTGTGTGTGTGTGTGTGTGCTTATCTGCATCCACAATTCTGTTGTGTGCTCCTTGCTCCTGGGATAGTGGGCTGAGTTTGGGAGCAAAACCTTGAATGGGGTACATTCTGTTTTAGAAATATGACCAGTGCCTCCATTTTCCTGAACTCTTCACCCCATCCTGGCCTCTGCCTGGCTCTCTATGCTTTTTCCTCACCTGATCCTGGGCATTCTAATCTAATGAGGGACTCACTTCAATTATTTCTCTGTTTCTTAGATCTTTTATCTTAGGATTCATTCCCCCACCCCACCATGTTTCCTTTGTTTTTTGTTTGTTTTATACGGAAGAGAAAATCTTAACTCTGTTGCTTGGCCGGATAAGGCGTTCTTACTCATATTTAAATGTTGACTTGTAGGATTTCTTTATGCATTCTGGATGACTCTTGTTGGATAAATGTACGCCTACTCATTTCCCTGATGCTATCTTTTTGGTGAACAGACTTCTATTTTAACAAAATGCAGTTTATCTATTCCATCGTAGTTTGTTCTTTTTGTGTGTTGTCTAAGAAGTCTGTACTGCCCCTAAGGTCAGTGATATTTTTCTCTATTTGCTTCCAGATGCCTTCTGATTTTCAGGCCTATGGTTTGGTCTGTGATTTATCTCAGAAGTATTTTTGTACAAAGTATGAGGTTGAGGCTTACCCCCTACCCTCTCTGGTTAGTTCAGCACCATTTATTAGGTGGATGTTCTTTAGCTTGTTGTATAATTATGGCAACTTGATTGTAAACCAGTTGATCATATATGTGTGGGTCAAGTCTAGAATCTGTTATGTCCCATGGGTGTATGTGTCTGTCTGGATGTCAGTACTGCAGTCTCTTACTTAATGTCCTTGTGAACCAAGTGGAGTAATGAATGCCTGTAGTCCCAATTATTTGGGAAGCTGAGGTGGGAGAATCATTTGAGCTTTGGAAGTCAAGGCCAGTTTAGGTAACAGGAGAGACCCCAGCTCAAAAAAGAAATATCAAGTAACAGTGTTTAGCAGGCCTTAAATCAGGTCTGGTGCAAGTGCTCCATCCTTGTTCTTTTTTTTAAAAAAATTATTTATTTATTTATTTATTTATTTATTTATTTATGGGGGGCCAGCTCAGCCCACCAGGGGGTGGGGCTGGCTGGCATGTGGTGCTGGGGGATTGAACCGTGGTCCCTGTGCTTTGCTAAGCTTGTTCTAAGGTGCTTTAGACCACTGAGCCATCTCACCAGCCCTATCCTTGTTCTTTTGCAGAACTGTTTGCTTTCCCACTTCCTTCCTACGTTTTTTGGTTTTTATTTTAAAATTAAATTTAAGGCCAGGGAGATGGCTCAGTAGAATAAGCGCTTCCCTGGCAAGCACAAGGCCTGAGTTCAATCCTCAGTTCTGCCAAAAAAATAAATAAATAAATAAAATTTAATTAGTTAATCTTTTTATTTATTTATTTACTTATTTCTATTTTAGGGAGGGGTCTACAGGGTGTTTAGGGTCTCGCTATTAGATTGGACTCGTAGTGATCCACCTATTTACAGCCTCCCTAGAGCTGGGATTACAGGCCCCATACCACCATGCCCAATCTCAATCGCTGTCTCAGTGCACCCTGGGTGCAGGGCCAGGATGGCAGGGCAGCAGGCCAGGGCCCCTGTGCCTGCTTGCAGGTGTTTTAATCTCCTGAACTATTTGGTTGGCCTAATTAATTTTTTTGAGTCAAGTTCTCACTATGTAATTCAGGATGGTCTTGAATTCACTGTATAGACAAAGTTGGCCTGTGAGTCAAGACAATTTTCCTGCCTCAGCCTCCTGAGTACTGGTATTATGGGTGTGTATCACCATGCCCAGATAAAGCCTAACATTGTTTTTGTTTTTTTTAGGAATTCAACAATGGTTGCTATATTGCATATTGTTGTCTTCAAATTAGTTGTTCAGACTACCAGATATAAGCATGCAAAATTGTTTAAAAAAAAAAAAGAGAAAAGAAAATTACAAAAAATTAAAAAGAGGGGCCAGTAAGAGCTCAGCAGGCTGAAGTACCTGCTAGGCAAGTGCAGGGACTGAAGTTCAATCCCGGGCACCACGTGCTGTGCCGGCCCCGCACCCAGGGCAGACTGAGCCAGCTAGAGTATGGGTGTCGTGGTGCACGCCTGTAATCCCAGTGCTGGGGATTTCTTTTGTCCTTTTCGTCATCCAAGTTGTTCCTTCCCTTTGAACAGATTCTTTCCTTTTTTTTTTTTTTTTTTTTTTTGCGGAACCGGGGATTGAACTCGGGTCCTTGCTCTTGCCAGGGAAGCACTTATTCTACTGAGCCATCTCCCCGGCCCAGATTCTTTCCTTTTCACAGTATCTATTGTACCTTTCAGATTTTATTTACTCTTTCAGGTTCTTACACTAGCAAGACAATAGGATGTATACACATGTGGGTCTGATTTATTTCACTTACGAATATGGTCTCTAGTTGTATCCATTTACCTATAAAAGCCTTGAGTTTATCTTTTTTATGCTTGAATAATACGCCATTTTGTAAAAATATCACATCTTTAAGTATTATTATTATTATTATTATTTAATGTATTTGGTACAGGGTCTCACTATGCAGCTCGGACTTGTAGTGATCCTCCTGTTTCAGCCTCCCCAGCGCTGGGTTTACAGGTGTGTGCCACCTCGCCCAGTCTTGGTGGCTGGCTCGGAATGCCCGGGGTGGGGCTGGTGCAGCATGTGGTGTTGGGGATGGAACTCTGGTCTCTGTGCTTGCCTAAGCAGGCACTTAGTTTGCTGAGCTATCTCTGCAACCTGTTCTTTTTTTGTTTGTTTTATTTTGTTTTGTTTTTGCAGTACAGGGGATTGAACTCAGGACCTTATGCTTGCCAGGTAGGTGCTCATGCCACTGAGCTATCTCCCCAGCCTTCACATCTTTTTTATCCATTCCTCAGTTGCTGGGCATCTAGTTATGACATCTAGCTATGACAAATTGTGCTGCTATAAACATGGGTACACATATATCTCTGTGGTATGATGTTTTCAGTTCTTCTGAAAAAATACCCAGGAGGGGAATAGCTGTGTTGAATGGGACCTTTAATCCTAGTTTTTTGAGGAATCTCCACACTTATTTCCATAGTGATTATACTACTCTGCACTCGCATCAACAGCGGAGAAGGGTTCCCTTTTTCCCCACAACCCCTCAAGCATTTAGTATTTGTTGATTTCTTGATGATAGCATTTCTTTCTGGTGGGGATAAAATCTCAGTGTTGTTTTAATTTGCATTTTTCAAATGACCAATGATGTTGAACATTTTTTCATATATTTACTTGCCATTTGTATTTCTTCATTTTTTAAAAAAATTTATTTATTTATGTGTGTGTGTGTGTGTGTGTGTGTGTGTGTGACTGTGTGTGGCCAACCCACCAGGGGGCGGGGCTGGCTGGCATGTGGTGCTGGGGGATTGAACCACGGTCCAGGTGCTTTGCTAAGCTTGTTCTAAGTAGGTGCTTTAGACCACTGAGCCATCTCACCAGCCCCTGTATTTCTTCATTTGTAAGCCTAACTTTTTTTTTTTTTTTTTTTGCGAAACCGGGATTGAACTCAGATCCTTGCCTTTGCCAGTCAAGCACTTACCCTACTGAGCCATCTCCCCAGCCCCAATGTAAGCCTAACATTTTTAAGCAGTTCTTCTTTGCCTGTAGCTTTAGTGTATCCAGTCAAAATTCTGTTTTCCAAAATTACTTAGTTGAGGGCCGGCCAAATAGCTCAGTGAATTAAAGCACTTGCAAGCTGGCTCAGAGGCTGGGGGTTTGATCCCTGCCCCCAGGGCACACTGAGACAGCCTTTGAGACTGGGCATGGTGGCGTGCGCTTGTAATTCCAGCTCTTGGGAGGCTGTAAACAGGCAGATCACTACAAGTCCAATCTAGTAGTGGACTCTGAACACCCTGTAGACCCTTCCCTAAAATAAAAAAAAAAAAAATTACTTAGGTGGTATCTGAGCATGGTGCTTGCCCTGTAGTCTCACCACTCAAGAGGCTGAGGCAGGAGGATTATTATGTTTGAGACCAGCCTGGGTTACATTAGTGGAACAGCCTGGAATACATAGTGAGACTCTGTCTTAAGAAACAAAACAAAACAAAACAACAAAGTTACTTTGGTAAGTTCTTTCTCTTCCAGTGAGGTAGTGTAGATTCATTTATTATCTGCTTACCTGGGATTTGAATTCACTACATAGAATATGTTGGCCTGGAATTCAAGACAAGTTTCCCGCCTCAGCCTCCTGAATACTGGTATTACAAGTATGTATCACCATGCTTGGATAAAGCCTAACTTGTGTTGGCTAAGTGTATTCTTTTCATTTCCATGGTCTTAAGAGTCAAACTACACACTGGGACTGGGGAAATAGCTCAGTAGAATAAGCACTTGCCTGGCAAGAAGAGTCAAATGACACAATAAGGGGTACCTACAAAAGTGTCTTCCCTCTTATTACTGCTGCCCTGTTCTCATTCTCCATTTTGTTCCACATTTTCTCATCCACCCTGTGGAGATGTCTTAATCATTTTCATCATTGCTGGGACAAAATAACAGACACTCACAATTTAAAGAAGAGATTTATTTTGGCTCGTATTTCAATCCATAGTTGGCAGGCTCCAGGGCAGGATGGCATGGCAGAGTGGCAAGGTGGAAGACAAGCTGTTCTTTATGGCAGCCAGGAAGCAGAAAGCAAGGGAGAAGCTGGGAAGGGGGGTACTGTAGACACTCCCAGGCCATGCCCCGGTGACCTGCTGCTTCTGACCAGACCCCACCTAACAACAGCAGGTCAGCTGCTCTGTCCTATGATCCACCTTCCCAACAGGGTCTTTGAGGCCATTTTAGGTCTGAAACAGTAACATTATGTCCCTGGTCCCCAAAAGACTCATTTGTGTCACTTTATACAACATGCATTTAGCTCATCTGTAAGAGACATCACATTCTTAGTAGCTCCAGCATTGCTGAAAAGTCCAAGCCCAAAGTCTCCTTTGAGAGTCAAAGCAAACTCTTAGCTGTGAGCCTCTGCAAAAATAAAAAAGTTAAACACTACTGATGTATGGTGGTACAGGGTAAACATTACCATTGTAAAAGGGAGGAATAGGAATACATAAACCAATGGGACCGAAGCAAAATGAAACCTGACAGGACAAACATTAAATCTTTTTTTAAAAATTTTATTTATTTATTTATGTGTGTGTGTGTGTGTGTGTGTGTGTGTGTGGCCAGCTCAGCCCACCAGGGGGCGGGGCTGGCTGGCATGTGGTTCTGGGGGATTGAACCGTGGTCCCTGTGCTTTGCTAAGCTTGTTCTAAGTAGGTGTTTTAGACCACTGAGCCATCTCACCAGCCCACAAACATTAAATCTTGTAGTTCCCTGTCTAGTACCCAGGGCAAGCTGTGGTGAGATCTGCACTCTAAAGGGCTAGGGTTGTTCTGCCCCTATGGCATTGCCAGGGTTGCAGCTCCCATGGCTGCTCTCTTGGGCTGGCTCTGTACACTCCTTGTGGCTTTTCTCAGATCTTCAAACTTCCGGGCTTCTCCACCTTTCTGGGGTTTCCAGTGCAGTTTGGATTTCATTCTCATAGCTTCATTTGGTGCCTTTTCAATATCACATTGCCTGGGCTCCGTCTTGAGCCAGGCATGGTGGCACATGTCTATAACCTCACAGCACACAGGAGACTGAGGCAGGAGGATCCTTTAGAGTTTGAGACCACCCTGGGCTACAAAGTGTGCTTGAGGCCAGCCTGAGCTGCTTTGTGAAACCCTGTCTCAAAAAGACTGGAAGAGAGAGAAAGAGAGAGAGAGAGAGAGAGATCGATCCTCTGGTCTAGCAAGTATCCCTCTGTAGATTTTTGATTTTTGTTTTGATTGCTGGGGATCCAACCCATAGTCCCTTGCATGTTAGGTAATACTCTGCCACTGAACTACACTCTGCATCTCCTGTAAGATCTGTCTTACCTAGTGACAAGGCTTGATGACTTGTGGAATACTGACCGTAGTCTGGACCTGTGCTTGTTCCTGTAGATGTGGCCCCTAGGTAGGGAAGCTATCTTAGTGCCCTGAACCCCCAATCTAGGTCATATGCAGGGTGTGTTGTGAGGTCATGTGCAAACCTCCCAGATTCAGATTCACCCTACTGATCCTGAGATGGGCATATCTGGTGCATGCAGTGTCTTGTGGGATAGGGTTATTACCTATATTCTTTCCATATCCTAGGACCTGCCTCACTTTGCAGAGTTGGAGCCCCAACGCGTGGGCAGGGCTGCTGGGCTGAGCTACATAGTGTCATGGAGCAAGCCCCTAACATTGCTTTTCCTAGGGTACAGGCACTGAGTGGGAACCAGAGCTGGCTCAGATCCCATCACAATGAGTGGTAACTGTCACCTGCCACAGGGCTCGACATGGAAGAAGGCAGGGAAGGAGGCACATGGCTGGGCATCAGCACACGAGGGAAGCTAGGGGCGCTCACCAACTACCTGCAGCCACAGCTGGACCGAGATACCCGTGGCAGAGGTAAAGGGGAGCGGGGTGGGGGAAGCAGGACTGGGCCCAGGCAAGGGGGCTGTGTGACCCAGTGGGGTAGGGCCTAGTAAGGCAGGCAGAGTGGGCCAGAAAGGGTAGGCAGGAAGCAGGCGCTCCCTCAAGGTAGAGCTTTTTCTAGGCTCCTCACCTATCTCAGGAACATGAGACACAAGAGAAGGGGAAGGGACCTATGGCATCACCGTAATAGCCACCATTGTTCTGGTCTCTGGGCACCCACACAGATGTGGTTATGACCGTGAGAACCCTTTAAGGGTGTCAGTTCACAAAAATGTCACTCCTGTTGTATCTTTGTCCACCATGCCAGCAGCATGGATACCTCCCCCTCCCTCTAGCACAGTTCTATTGACACACATCATTCATGGTGAAGTTTTGTCTTTCTTTGTGCTGGATTTCCCTAAAGAGAAATATGGGAAAAATATTTCGGGTTTTTTGTTTGTTTTGTTTTAGATGGGATTCTCTTTGTGTTTCCTAGATTGTCCTCAAATTCATGATCTTCCTGTCTCATCCTCTCAACTATAATCTGCTGTGCAATTTGGCCAGCCTTTATTTTTATTTTTTATTTTTTTGGTGGAACCAGGGATTGAACTCAGGTCCTTGCGCTTGCCAGACAAGCACTTATTCTACTGAGCTATCTCCCCGGCCCTCATCCTCTCAACTAGCTATGATGACAGCCTCTGTTCCTGGCTGGAAGATTTTTTTTAAAAACAAACAAAAAATTGTAGTTCTCAGTGCCACCCTTTGTGGCAGCCCTCAGTGAAGTGTGGCTGAATCCAGTTGCTGTAGCTCCAGTGGGATCCCTCTGTCTTTGTTGTATCTCAAGAAAAGGGGCTCATCTGCCACCCAAGTCATATGTCCCTGTCCCCTGCACACAGGTGAACTTGTAACCAACTTTCTGACCACTGACATGGACAGCTTGTCCTACCTGAAGAAAGTCTCCCAGGAGGGCCACCTGTATAATGGCTTTAACCTCATAGCAGCTGACCTCAGGTGAGTCTGCCAGAAGGGGACAGCAACCTGACCCTGCACTGCCCTGGGGCCAGATCTCCACCACTCCAGGCACTTACAGAGGCTTGGCAAGCATCCCAAAGACCTAGCCTGTCTCAGGTCCATCCACCTGAGTCATGGGGAATAGAATGAGGGCTTCTTGCTCTCTGCTTCAAAAGAGCTGGTGCTGTGAAGGGCAGTCTGTGGCCCCGGCTAGGTGTCCACTCCCCTCCCATGGGAGGCCCTGTAGAACAGCCCACAGCAGCCCTGGTCATGTGCTGTGACCCTAGGCGGTTCTCAAATTAGAGATATGGCCACAGGTACTGTGGAGATTTTGTGTTTTGCCTTTTGGTGAAGTGAGCATCTTCCCCTATCCCCCTCTGGCTCCTCTCTTTCTCATTCTGATGCCCCAAAGTCAGCAGATGCTATAAACTAGGTAGGCAGGTATGTCCAACCTGAAGCCTGTGAGTTGAACATGTCTGGGTTGAGGTAAAAAAGATTTAGAATAATTTTTTGTTATTTGTATTTTTTTATATGCAGTCCCAAACAATTCTTTTTCATTATATCCCAGGCAAGCCTAATATGTACAAAAGCCATGGGCTGCTGGTTGGAGGGGCTTCCTCCAGGACAGACAGATGGGAGTGAGGGACAATCAGTACCCATGTTAAGAGCTCCTTGCTGAGCTGGTTCCTTCCATGAGAGGTCTGCTGTGCCTCTAGCATCCACTGCATGTGGAGGGCCAAGGGTGGAGGCTGGTGTTGGCACTTGCTGTCTGGAACTCTCCTCCTCACTGACCTATAGCAGCTCCAAGTCCATGTACTCCCCAAACTTGGAGACCACTTTACCATGTCACTTATTCCATGTGTGGCCCCAGCTCCAGGACACTAGAACAGAGCCACTGGTGGGACTGGGCACTCAGCAGCAGTGCCAATGGCTGGGAGATAAGGGAGCTGTGCTCTACATGGATGTGTGGGCATGTATCAGGTATAACCCCTGCAGTTGTGGAAGTGTGGCCCTGGACCTCGGGGAGCCTGAACAGCCTTTCCTAGCTCCTGGGTCTGGAGTCTGCCACCCTGATCACAACTCAAGAAAGCACACAGTGACCAGAGAAGCATTCCATGAGTCAGTGGCAGATGGTACTGGGGCTGAGGCTAGCGGGTAGCAGTGAGCAGCCCTGTTGGTGGGTGCTGATAAGGAATCCAAGCCACAGCAGGCCCTCCTTATGTTGGCTGTGCCAGCTGCCCCAGCATAGACACCTGATACCACTGTTGTTACATCAAAAGTTCAAAAGCATTCTGCTTGAAAACAGCTCTGAATTTATTAACCAAACATCTTAAGGAAGCTGCCAAGGGGTGTGATGTACGAGGAACGTGAACACAGACTAGAGGCTGTAGAAGCTGGTGGGTGGGTCATGCCTGGTGGCAGATGGCAGCATGGAGCAGAAAGGATAGGAGGACTTAGCAGTACCCCCACCCACCCTTTCTACTCCTTTCTCTGAATTTGTCCATTTGGAAGATGCAGGTCTCTTTGTCTGGTATCTAATGTGGAGGATGATTCATAGATCTCAAAGTCATGATGCATACTCAAGAAACTGAGGTGAGAAATCTCAAGTCAGAGTCCCACTTGAGGTAACTTAGTGAGACCCTGTCTCAAAAAAGAAGAAAAAAAAAAAGGACTATAGCTCAGTGATCCTCAGTACTAAACAACAGCAACAAAAAGGCATTCCAAGTTCTAGCAGCAAGGCTTTCTGTGGTATTAAGGATCTGGGACATCTTCAGCAGTGATGCATGTTAATATTGTAGAGCATGCACTTAGAATATGATAGTAAGAAAGTGTGGTCTTTCAGAAGCCTATTTCACCCTGAGGCCACATGCTAGGAGCCCCAGAAGTGCTTGGAGAGAAGGGGACTGTGCCTCTCCAGAAGGCGCTGGTTTTCATGGGGCTCAGCCTTATAACTGTCAACATGTGATCATGTCACAGGGCATCCGTCTAGGCAGGAGGGTCTTCACATGCTGTTCTCTCCCTCCCTTGGTTGTCCCTAAGATGAGCTATCAGTGTTCTTGTGATGCTCTATAGGAACTAGGTCACCATGGCTTAGCCTTCCCAGCCCCTCAGCCTGGCTAAAGTAGACCATTGTTCTTGTGCTTGGCTAGGGCTTGGGGCTTGGCCCATGAGATCACTGGGCAGTGCTGAGAACAAGATACCCTATCCATCCTGTCTAACCTTCTCTTTACTCCATCCACAGCACAGCAAAAGGAGATGTTGTTTGTTACTATGGAAACCGAGGGGACCCTAAGCCCATTGTCCTGACGCCAGGTGAGCCTGCTGTGGCAGCCTGATGGGATGAAAGACTGCTGCTGTGTTAGGGATTCTCCATTCTTAATGTGGGACTCTCTGCCATCTGTGGGGTACTCCACAGCAGGAGCCCAGCCACACTCTGTGATGCTGGCCCTCCCCGTCCCACCTTGGACAGAGCCATCAGGGTCCAGAGCAGGTTCAGCTGAGCTCCCAAGAGCCTGTTGATACCTAACAGTGAAGCAGAGGGCTATGGTGGTGTGCGGTGCTAAGCTTGGCATCATGTCCCTACTGTTCTGCTTGCCTTCATGCCACCTCATTCAGTATTTTGGTGTAGCAGGTGATTGTCCACATATCATTAGGTCTGCCCTGAGCCCTTGGCAGCCTGGGCTGCCCATAGCCTGGGAAGAAATTGGCAAACACAAGGCATGAAAGGAAGCAGATATCCTCTTTCCTCATTCAAAACATTGGTGCAGGGGGCTCTAGGGAAGCAGCTGGGGGCTATCCTGAAGCCTTTTGTTCTCAGTAGCTGAGACCCTGCTGGCTAGCAATGTTTATTTTCTGCTAAGTCATTTTTGGTAGAAATTCTTTTCATCTACATCCTGTTTCATTCCCAAACCTGCCTTTACCTGATCCAAGTTGCCATAGGCTGGGGAGGTGGTGGAACAGGAAGATACGTGGTAATCAGTCTTGGGTTTCTTTGGGAGATAATGAAAAGGTTCTGGACTTAGTGGTGATGATAGCACAACTTTGTGCATATACTAAAACCCTTTAAATATGACACTAAAAAACAGGTGAACTGTAGAAAATGTTAGTCATATCTCACTTGATCTTAGCCAAAAGGCCGAGAAGCGATGAGTCATATCTCAATAAAGCTCTTATTTAAAAAGAAGAGACTGGGCTGGCAAGATAGCTCAGCAGACTAAGTGCCTGCTTAGGCAAGCCCAGGGACTGGGGTTTGATTCCCTGGTACCGAGTGCCGCACTGGCCCCGCCCCTGGGTGTGCTGAGTCTGGGTGTGGTGGTGCATGCCTGTAATCCTAGTGCTGGGGAGGGTGAAAACAGAGGATCACTACTTGTCTGAGCTGCGTAGTAAGATTCTGTACCAAATACATTAAAAAAAAAATCACAATTCATTTAAATAAAAGAGAAAAAATAAGAGGCATCAATGGAGCTAGTTATTGGGAAGAAGGAAATTACTGCTGAATTTTAAAAACAATTGCGGGCTGGAGAGATGGCTCAGTGGTCTAAAGCACCTACTTGAAACAAGCTTGGCAAAGCACAGGGACCGCGGTTCGATCCCCAGCACCACATGCCAGCCAGCCCCGCCCCCTGGTGGGCTGAGCTGGCCACACACACACACAATAAATAAATGTAATAAATAAAAATAAATAAATATTAAAAAAATAAAAACAATTGCTTGTAGATGGTAAATATATTGAAGAACAAAAAAAAGAGAGCGAGAGAGACTGAGAATTTGGCTCAGTGGTAAACCACATGCTTAGCAGGTATCAGGCCATGAGTTCAATAAAATGATGAAGATGATGTAGGACATGGATCAAGTTAGGGGGCAGACTTGGATGAAACAGGACATAATGTCCCCACATGCTACAGTTTCCTGACTGCTGGCACAATTCAGGCCTATCATGGTAGTTGCCCTCCGAGGCATGGGTTTCTAATTGTCTACTTTTGACTTTTGTAAGTGTCCTCATGCTCTATCTTTGAGAGAGATTCCCCATTGGAGTTCCAGGTGTTAGTTCTATGTCACTGTTCTCATTCAGGTTCCATGTAGCTACACTTCATGGTCTCTTATGTATGCCTGCATACAAAGATGGAGCAGAGAGGGCACAGAGGAGGTGCTAGTGTAAAGGGACAGCTCTGTTTCAGCCTTTTCTGGTTTCATTGTTCCTGGCTGGACCCCTAGCACCTCAGTTTATACCAGGTGGTTTGGTGAGAGTAGTTGCCCCTGAAATCACATAGCAGGGCCTCTGCATGGCCAGGTTGACCCTCCTCCCTGCAGGAACCTATGGGCTGAGCAACGCACTGCTGGAGACACCCTGGAGGAAGTTGTGTTTTGGCAAGCAGCTATTCTTGGAGGTTGTGGAGCAGAGCCAGGCACTCCCCAAGGATGCCCTTGTTGCCCAGCTCCTGGATGTGCTGAACAATGAGGAGGCGTAAGTAGACAAGTCCTCACTGGGTGACCATGCAGGCACTGGGCTGCAGAGGAAGGCAGACTTTACTGCCTGAAAGCCCATGGAGGTGATCAGGGCTAGCTCTTCAGCTGCCTTCCTGCTCTCCTGGTTGGCCCCCTTGGGCATCCAGTTGGTGTTTCCAATAGGATACTTGGATGATGAGAAGTGGGGTAACTGAGGGCCTGTTGGCTGGGAAGTTTGGTGCTCCCTGACCTTGGATATAGGCTTGCATAGCATTAGAGGAGCTGGAAGCTTTTCTCCACATGAGGCAAAGCCACAGAATTGAGAAGCTAACTCAGAGCTCATCTGGAAGATGACAAAATCTCCCATATCCTGTCTCCCCAGTGATCTAGGCTGAACACTGGGCACAGATGCACCTGTCCCTGGGGCTAGGAAGCCCCCACGTGCTTCCTAGCCTGGAGTCCTTAAGGCACTGCAGGTAGCAGTGGTGCATCCTCAGACCCTGGGTATTTAAATCTTGGCTGTCCTAGCAGAAGGTCTCAGTGATTGTCAAGCTGGCCTTGGTCTCACATGCAGCCCCATATCTTTCCCTTTCCGCTGGCCACCTTTCTGCCTAGGTGATCCAGTGTCTACTACTTCTTCCCATTCTATTGCTCCAACATCCCCTCAGAGGAATGGTCCCACCATGATTTCCAGGGGCCCCTCCCTGCCCCCTGCTCATCTGCCCTCTTTGTACCTCCCTCTCCCCTAGGTCATGGCATCATCCTTCAGCCTCAGCATCACTACCTGTTAAGGGAGCTCTACTGACCTCCTTGTCTAGCCACTTTCTCAGCAGTAAATCCATGTCGTGGTTGGCCATTGTGTCATCCTAGGCAATTCTGTGATGATCCCTAGCTGTTCTCATCAATGGCTGCAGTCCTGCTGCCTGTTGTAGTGACTTGCAAGTCTCAAGGTTCAAGCAGACTTCTGTCACATGGACAGATTCTCACAGTGCAACTCTAGGGGCAGAGAGAAAGTGTGTGTGGCACCTAGAAGGGTGGGCTTAATGATGGACCCATACATGGAAGGTTAACACAGGTATGGGGCCACCAAGCAACAAAGATAAAATGACCCTCATGGGGACAACCCGCTCAGGCCCCCCCTCCTGTCCCTCTCTTGGATCTGAGCTTTCTTTCCCTCAATAAATATATTTTGCTCATAAAAACAAAACAAAACACCCTCATGGTTGTGCACAGCCTATCCAAGGCTAAAGGGCTCCTCAGGAACCTTGAGGCTGGTAGGCCACCTGCCTACATGGGGCTATAGGCACCAGGAGAGGGAGTGATGGCCACCCTTTCCTCTGTTCTTCCAGACAGCTGCCAGACCCAGCCATCGAGGACCAGGGCCAGGAGTATATACAGCCTATACTGAGCAAGTATGCAGCTGTGTGTGTGCGCTGCCCAGACTACGGCACCAGGTATGGTGGGCCTGGGGCTGCTGGACATGTCCCCTTCAAAGCTAGAGGAAATGGCAAAGAAACAGCTTCCCCACATTCCACAGCATGCCAGGGCTAGACTCCTTCCTAGCTGAATGGATTCTATAGCCTCTGCCCTGCCTAGCCTTGGCTGTGTGAAGAGTGAGAATGTCATGAATGACTGGCAGCTCCCAGGTTTGTGGTCCATGAGTTTCCACTGTGCCCTAGGAAGGGCCCCTGAGCTGTCTCCTTCCCAAGTCAGAGACTGTGATGCCCCGTCTTACTTTGTTGCTCAGAATTGCTTTTGCTATTCTAGGTCTCCTCCAGTGCTAAGTGAATTTTAGGACTATTTTTTCTAACCCTGTGAGATAAGCTATTGATGTTCTGATTACATCCCCTTCTAGTGAGGTGCCAGTATATAGCCACCAGGTATCCAGGGATAGTATGTGTTGTTCTTAGAAGATCCCTTTGGGTAGATGCCCTGATACTGACATTCTAGGCCCTATGGGTTACATACCTAAATGGTGGGGGCTGCAGGCTACTCATTTCTGTATGTGTCCACCTTTCTTCCATGAGAGATAGGTATTACAACATGAAGAACCTCCCAAGCTGGGTGGTAGTGCACACCTGTGAGCCCACCATTTGGGAGGCTGAGGCAGAAATATTGCCACAAGTTCAAAGCCAGGCTGAGTTACCTAATGAATTTAAAACCAGCCTAATTACTGGTGAGAACTGGTCTCAAAAATAAAACAAGGGCTGGGGATATAGCTCAGTGGCACAACACCTGTCTGGCAAGTACAAGGTCCTGAGTATGATTCCTGGTACAAAAAAAAAAAAAAAAAGCAAAAAACAAAACATGAAGAACCTCTCACAGTGGGAAAAGACTGGGTGGGAAGAGGAGTGTACGCTGAAATTTAGCAGGTGGCCACCTGGCTTGGCTGGGAAGGTAGGGAAGGAAGGGGACAGGAGGGAGTTTTCCAGGAAGGAAAGGCGTGGGCCCCAAGTAGTTGAGAGCCTGACTTCTTAGAAGAACACATGGTGATCAAGAGTCTGGACCTTGGGGTCCTCTTGAGTAGGTAGGTGTGTGGTCAACCTAGCAGTTATTCTGTGGCAACAGGCAGGCAGGGCTCTTGCTAAAGAGGGAAAGCAGCACAGGCTATTATTTCAGAGCAGAGGAAACAAGACTCACCTATTGTGGGCCTGCATGGCCAACCAGGGAGCCAAGATGCCCCTGACAAGCTCCTTCATGACCCCAAGGCTGAGGTTGCTGCTCATCTATGACCCCCATCTCAGGCTGAAACAAAGGGCCTAACACAGGCCCCAGGCTTGATGGGCTTGCTTCTTCTACTTCAGCTATGGCCCTGACAGATGGGACTGGCACCAAGGGTTGCATAGAGAACACTGTCTTTCAGAACCAACACCATTATCCTTGTGGATGCAAATGGCCAGGTGACCTTCACAGAGCGCAGCATGCTGGACAAGGATCCCTCCCGGTGGGAGACCAACACCCATGAGTTCATGCTTCAGAGCTAACAGAGCTCTGGAGAGGCCCTGCTTCAAGGCGAGTGTGGACTAGAATCTTCATGGCATATGGCACTGCCTAGAACTCAGCCAGTGTCCTCTAGGCCTGGCACCCTCTGATCTATGTGTTATCTGTGTCCCTGTACTCAGCTCAGGGTCTGCCTTTGAAGAGTGACAGAGTCTGATGCTAGGCCTACACAGTCCCATACATTGGCAATGTAGTTGGGTCTACCCTGCTTGTGTGCGTAAGTAATCACATACACATAAAGGGAATGTGTTAACACATTTACATGCATAAATATGCACATGTACACATGGATACATACACAGGCACACATATGCACACAGAAGAGTCCTCACCACATATGCACTTCTAGCCAGTGGGTCTTTGCCTGGTCAAGTGATGGGGTAAGCTTTTGTTTAGGCCTTTTCTTTCCTGGGAGCAAAGAGTACAACTGTAGTTCAGTTCCCAGACATCCTGCAGAGGAGACAGGCCATGTCAAAGAAGATACAAAACTCATTTTTACAACTGAAGCACACCCTTAGTATGGTCTTGATGTGCCAGAGGGTCCTGTGTATATGCGGCAGTCTTCATATATACTGGATGATTTTAGGATGGTGTAGGTATCCCATGTATCCTAGAAGGTTCTCCGTGTACCAGGGGTGTCATGTACACTGGTCATTCTGCCCATGGAAGGCAGGTGTGTGCTGGGGACTTTTAGGCCCCTCCTCACTCAGGTGAGCATTGAGGGCTCTGTGCAGGTCTATCTCAGTAAGGGAACTTAGTTAACTGTTGCTGTCTCCCTTTTCCTTCCTGGAGAGTTCAGCTTCATAGGAATCTGAACTTATGTGAGCTATGGATAATAAAGCTTTGATCTGTGATAAGTGTTTCAAGGTCTTTCCTTTGTATGATGGTGACAGGATCTCCTGTGGTGGTATAAATGCCCATATGAGGCTCTTTCTCCTTCTTTGTCTTCCACATGAAGCCAGGCAGTCAGGAGGTCCATCTGTCCTTGGGCAGAGACTGTGGCACAAGGAAACCTATGTATGTATGTAAATTAGGTGTGGTTTACAGGGCAAATCACTTAATACTAGGGCTTATGAAGAGAAATCTTGGAGAGGCCATGGTTAGCCTGTGAATGGTAGTGGGCAAGTGAAGTCTGCCTTAGCCCTGGCACTCAGGAGCTTAAGTCCCCAGCCCTAGCCAAGATTATATCCCACATATCTAATGCGCAGTTCCAAGGCTTCTCTGTGCCTCTCCAGCTGAGCCTTGACTTGGTCTTTCAGAACAGCACTCCAAGCAATGAGCCCAAGGTAGATGCGGACTTGCATTGAGGTACAGCCTAGGTGTGATGAATTGCTGGTCCATCTGGGGCCAAATGGAGGCCCACTTTCCCTGCTCCAGGCCTGTGAGGAAACCGCAGTTTCAAGTCCACATGTATCTGGCAGTAAGAATGACAGGCTTTCAGCTGGGGCTACCACCTTACTGCCATCACACTCCTACGTTGGTGGTCTGTTCTATGTCGTGTAGCTTTGTTCTACGCCAGCCCCCACCCTGACCAGGCACAATGCTTTCATAGTGTCCCCACATGTTTGTCTCTACTCTAGGATTAGACATGTTCAGGGGTAAGCTTTCTTAGTCTTGTCATGAATCCTTCGGCCCCTAGCCTGGGGCCTTCTGGGGAACAGACACCCCAAGATGTAGATCACATTGTTAGGGCTTAAGTTGTAACTCCCCCGACCCCCAGAAAAGATTAAAGTTTTAATCTTCAGTACCTCAGAATGTGACTGTATTTGGAGATAGGGTCTTTCCAGAGATAATCAAAATAAAATGGCATTTCTAGGCTGGGTCCTAATACAATGTAACTGATGTCCTTCTGTGAAGGGAACTTGGACTTAGCAGAGAGACAACAGTGTGTCCAAGTTCTGCACCAGCCAGGGATGACTCTGCTGCCAGCTGGATCTCAAAGTTTAGCTTGAGGAATTGTGGGACAGGTGTCTGTTGTTGGCTGGGGATGTAGCTCAGTGGTAAAGATGTTGCTAACATGAAGAGAAAACAGGGATAAGAATGATTCTGGCTAAATTGACAAACAAGATTATTGCCAAAGGCAAGCCAGGTGGTCAGACTTCACCTGGGGGTTGAGTGGGGGCAGAAGAAATGAGGAACCTGATTAGATAGCAAAGATAAAGAGGTTTTGCCAAACTGACTTAGCGAAGTTCTATGTTAAATTGGATGTAGCTCAGTGATAGAAGAATTTGCCTAGTACGTGCAATGCCCTAGTTGAATTCTCAGCACTGCAAAAGCCAACAACCCAGAATATAAGGAAGTCTAAAAAAAAAAAAAAATTAACAAACAAACATAAGGAAGTCTACAAATAGGCCTGAGTTTCCACAGAATACTTAGTCAAGTCAAGAGGTTCTATTTGAAGTTCACCAATTCTCCCTATAATATCCCTTTCCTGAGCCAAATTCCATTTAGGGTTTGGGTTCCACATCACACTTATTATCATTATTATTTTTTTGGCAGAACCGGGGAGTGAACTCAGGCCTTTGCATTTGCCAGGGAAGTGCTTATTCCAAGGATTGAACTCAGGCCTTTGCACTTGCCAGGGAAGTGCTTATTCCACTGAGCCATCTCCCCGGCCCCTCCACATCACACTTAAATGGTTCTCTTTTGTTCAAAGATGGCTCCACTGTTTATGACTTGATTATGCTCTTCATTCAGGTTTTGTGCCTTTGGGGGCAGGAGTACCAACAAATGAATCTGTTCCTTCAGGAGGCCTATAATATGTCCTTTGGTATTTCTTCTTCACTTCTGTTGAGGCATAATTAATATACACTCTTAACACATTTAGAATATACAATTTGCTAAGTTTGAACAAGCCGGTGACCTCGATTGCTTCCAGGTTTTCTTCCACTACAAAGCTACTGCTTCCTCTGCAATTACAAATATCTTGGGATACCAAACTGCAGCTGCAACAGTGTATAACAAAACTACCAATGCCAAATAAACGACAACCCCTCCCCCACACCCCCAATGTTAAAAGTGTGTGTCAGCATCAGGAGTTTTGGGTTCAGTCCTCAGCACCAAAACCTACTTTTAATTTTTCAGCCCACTATGTTTTAAAGCACTAAAATAAAACAAAATATCCGTGATTTTTGTGTCCAGCAGCAATTACTGAGATGCCTGCCCAAAGATAAATCTGTTCCACCATTCCCTCTACATTTATTGACGAATGCTAACCTAAGAAAGAGCTATTTACTCATATCCTCCCTTTTTGAAGACTCTGGGTGCCGTATTACCAAAGGGAAAAGGGCCAGAGTTGGGCAAACATAATTTTTAAAAAGTGACTATTTGACCAACCCTTTTAGCTAGAGGCCATGAATCCACTAGGAGTAGGACCCCTCCTGCGCATACTACAGCAGGAACAACGTGCCAGCTATTCGGCTCCCGGCATCCTCCGCGCTCGCGATTCCCGGCATCCACCGCACTTCCCACTCCCCTACTCCCAGCATCCTCTGCACTCCCGGCGCTCCCCGCGGCTACCGCCCTCGGCTCTTCGAGCCCCGCCCCGGCGGTTTACCGTTAGCGAAGCCCAGGCCTCGGCACCTGGTCCCGCCCACGCAGCCTAGCTATTGGGTCGCATACCGCGGCCACGCGCAGCCTTTGTTGCCGATTGGCGGCCTCCACAGCCCGCTCTGCAGTTCTCCCAATGTTGGCGGCTGCGTGCGGGGATTGGTCGGGCGCTACAAAGGCCCGCCTTCCGCTCTCCGGGCGCGGCAGGCGGGTCCCGCCGACCGGAGAGCTTGGGGGGCCTTGCTGGTGCGGCGGAGACGGCGGGGCGGTGAGGGTCTCTTTGCTTTGGTCGGGCAGCGGGCGGCTCGGGCAGGCCGCGGGCGCCGCAGGTAGGTGCGGGGCGCGAGGGGCGCCCCGCTGGCTGGAGGGCGGGCGCTGCGGCCTACGAGAGGGCGCGCCCTTCCCTCCCTTTCTCCTCCCTCGTGGGCCAAGGCTTGTGGGCCCAGGCGCGGGGCGGGGCGGGGCGGGGGTGCGAGGCGGGCCGGGCCACGCGGTGCCCTGGCCTTTGTGAGGCTACGTGGCCGCGGGCGGCCGGGCGCCACGAAGAACGTAGGGCGGGGCCGGGGCCTGGGGGACCTGGCTGGAGCTGGGGGGCGGGCCCCAGGTCCAGGTGTCGCCGGTGCTCACGCTTGGGTAAGGAGACCTCGCCGGTGGCCCAAAGCCATACCATCGTCTTCAGGCGGGAAAAGTGTGAATGGAACAGTGTTTGGCCAGAACCTTGACTGCTTTTATTGTAGTTGGGGAAATTTGAGAGATCACCTAAACCTCCAAATACTAGCGTATTGAGTGTCAGATAATCGGATGTAGTTTTGCTGTAACAATAAACGTGGTAGAAATATATGGAATTGTGGCAACCTGTTGACAGTGATACCTGTCAAGTATCACCCGGTGGACTTGGGTTGCTCATGGTAGGAATTTGACTTGCCTTTGCATGTTTGCATGCACCTTGTTACCTGATGCACAGCAGTCCCACCTAGGGCAATCGACTGTTGAAAGCCAATCACTTGGCAAGGGATCTTTGTTTGCTGGCCACAAACTGGACTGTCGGTTGTAGGAGTGTCTCAAATCATTGCAAACTATCATTCGTCAAAGGGAGTGAACGGTCAGTCAGGGGTACAGAGTGATTGCCGTCCGTGAGTGCAGGATGCTAAGCCCTTTAGAGGATGACAAAAGGAATGGATGAGGTCATACTGCTGCTGGGTTGGGCGGGAAGCTGCAGTGATGCTTTGAATGGATGGCTGCAGTCACAGTGCTGGACACCACAGCCAGTGCTTGGTGCCTGCCCAGCAAGGGGACTCCAACCAAGGTGTGTATTAGGTTGGATTACCTGTGTTGAGGCCCAGGGAACTTGCTGTGGGTATGCTGCTGGCTCATAGTCTAGTTGGCCAGGGTAAGTTTTATCAGTATTCAGTCAGCTGAAGCAGCAGTAGGACTGAAGAGTGGAGAGCCACACTTTGAGTTCTGCATGGCCAGGCACAGTTTAGAGCACTTCCAAGGGACTGTTTCATAGTCTTTTTGTAACCTTGAAGTGGGAAAATGATTTTAATTGTTTTGCTCAGTTAGAGCCTTCTCTTTGCATAGCTTCTTTTCAGCCTTTTGGGTTTAATGTTTCTTGACAGCTTTTAATCTCCATCTTTATCTGCAGCTGTTGACCTCTCTCCTGAGCTCTGGCCTTATGCTTCTAACTTTTTTTTTTTTTTTGCCGAACCGAGGATTGAACTCAGGCCCTTGCACTTGCCAGGGAAGCGCTTATTCCACTGAGCCATCTCCCCAGCACCCCCCCCTTTTTTTTTTTTTTTTTTACTATTTTTGGTGTGTGTGAAGTTTGAAATAGGTTCTGGATCTGTAGTTTAGACTGGCTTTGAATTCACTATATAGCCTAGTCTGGCCTTGAGTTCATGGTGATCCTCCTATCTCAGCCTCCCAAGTGCTGGGATTATGGGCTTATGACACCACACAGCTGTCAAATGTTACTTTAATGCCATCTCCAAAATTGGAGCTGTGTCCAAATCAAACTTCAGCCCCCCACTACTACACCTTGTGCTTTTCTAAAGTCACCTTGATTTCTCTCTTTATTCCTTCATGCAGTGCTCAAAATGCCGTCAACTCACCTTTTGTTTCCAACAATTGTTTCTCTGTACTTTCAATTGAATGTCATAATCTAAGTTACCTGGGGACACCCTTATTGATTTTCTTTGCTCTCACTTTTGATCCCTCTACCATCTGTTTACAGTTTTTCTGGACATGGACTGTTCCTTTAAACCCCATACGATAGTATAAAACCAGGGCAG